GGGGGGGGGGGAAGCCAGCGGCTAACCGCTTGAGCTATGGCGCGGGCAAGATATCATATTTAGTTCACCGTTAAAGAACATAGGTACATTTCTCTCAGTCACAGATTGACTAGCTCTAGTAGTAGATGGTTGGGTGATTTGGCCTTCAAATAGAAAATAAATACTAACAGACATTTTTCAGTTTTCACCAAACGTATTAAGCCTATTTCCACATTCGAACCGCACACTCCATTTTACAATATTCCTTTGAACTAATACACAGCCAAACATTATCATAAGTGGTCTCAGGATGAGGTGGGCAGGGCATGTAGCACGAATGGGTGAGGAGTGCATATAGGATATTGGTGGGAAAGCCAGAAGGAAAGAGACCACCAGGAAGGCCAAGGCGTAGGTGGGTGAACAATATTAAAATGGATCTTAGATAGAATGGGATGATATCGATTGGATTGATCTGGCTCAGGATAGGGACCAGTGGTGGGCTCTTGTGAACACAGTAATGAACCTTCGGGTTCCATAAAACGCTGAGAAATTCTTGAGTAGCTGCAGAATTGGCGGCTCCTCCAGAAGGGTTCAGCTCCGTGAGTAAGTAAGTGAGTACCAGGCTTCTGCTCGATTAACTGCACAAAAACAAAAGTAGCAGCTTCATGAACTTGAGAAGCAAGTGACTCACAGAAATACTTGAGAACAGCTGACATAGGAAACTACCCGGAAACGCAACTGTGAGAAGACTGGCTTGCTCAGTTGCCTGGGAGTTCAGTTTATTATTCTTCCGCGAGTTGCGTTGCCGTTTCCTCAGCTTGCGCATCTCCATTCAGTTCCACTTGTTAAACTCAGCCTAATAACAATTCTCCGAAGTTTCGGTTACGTGGCGGTTGCCAGTTTCCTTGGTGTGCCCCGTCCATACACTACACATATCCCGACAAAGAGTTTTTAATTACTCACCTTGTAGCTTCTTAAACAGAACGAGATAAAGGTTCCCAATTAAGGGTAGCGTCGGAGGGCCTGGTAGTTTATTGATCAGGCGAGCGCTTTCTGAATACCCTGAGAAAAGAATTAGCACAATTCCGAATAACAGCGATATGCTGAGCAGTAGAGTTACGAGATCCATCGTAGTCCCCTAGGCGTATGACGCTCTTCAGTGTATACCGTTCCTTATGAGGCTTGAGGACCGTGACGAAACTACTGCAACCCTGAACTTATCTCAAAGTTAATAAAAAGTCCGTCGAGTGTAACAATTTGTAGGTCAATTCTTTATCACTTCTGCCTTACATGTTTCGGTCTGACACAACCATCATCAGAGGCACTTACTACAATTATGAAAACACTGTTGTTGTTTATGATGCTCACAGTTATGTTTGTTGTGTGGACGCTGCTACAATATGTTGACGTGTAAAAGCACAACACTTGCTAGGATAGTTGAGTACACTATCAATTCTCACTTTCCATCCGAAACTGTTTTTAAGTTAAAACGCTAATGTTAAAATATTTAAAACATTTAAAACATTTGATGTAAAATGCTAAGCTCCTCCTTGTTAATTCATCCCGAAGATGGGAGATGTCAGCTTGAGGTTGTATGGCTTATGGTTAGATGTTTCCTATGTGCTGTGTGTTGTGTACACAACAGTACATCCTCATCCTCAATGACATAGGGGCCTAATGTACCGTGTGCTGAGACGGCACACCATAGCGTCACACGTGTACTGTGTAGCGGTTTCTGGACGGTAACATCTGGCCGCTCAAAACCAAGGAAGCGAGTTGTCTGGCGACCACTTACATATGAGCGGAAATAATACTCAAATATGAATACTTTTTCCTCCGTCGAGAGACCCATTTCCAGCAACAACTGCACAACACAACTTCCTTTTCACTACTGGGAAGACGTGCGGCTGAGCTATGCCCCGTCGACAAACGCACATGTGCGTTCGAGATGAGCGTGATTCAGTAATGCCTGTTTTGGGGCATACTGTATAAAGGCAAATTACTTTGGACGTCGGTGTCTGCATCTCTAGCCCTGACTTCCGACACCATGTGATGAACTTTTATAAAAGTACACAGATAACCCGGGCACTATGCTACAAGCGATTAGGTCATTGGTTATATATACGACGCAGTCCTTCCAGCCGTACTATGACCCCCGGGTTAAACTCAACCTCGAACAGGAATGAGTATCAGGAATCCTTCTGCGGGGGATATTGGGCGGCCGGCGCGTAATGCTGACCTCACCGCCAACTGTGAGCCTATTGTCTAGGAAATTTGGGAGCCTCGACGTTACACAACCCTATAGCCTCCACGGCCTGTTACAGGAATTCATTCATTCATCAGTAATCTGTCAGACGACAGGTCCACAGTCTCTTCCAAAACAGTTCCTCCACTTAATGTGATCTCAAGCTTTCTCCTTCAATTAAAATACCCTCTTCTGTCCCCAAGGTCATACAACATCTTCTTCTGTCTTCTGGGCACTTCTATCCGCCCCTCCGGTTTGTTTTGTCTCCAGAGGCATACATGGTATCTCTGTTTTGGAAAGAGACTATCCAGGAAAAGTGATAATGTGGCAGTTTTTCCATTTGCTTTCCACACCGCAGTACAACAGCCGTTCAAACCGCTCTGGTCACGTCAATTGCTATACGAATTTGAACCATCTCGAGCATCATTTGCTCTGTGCTTCAAGTCGCTGCTGATGACGCTGCTTCCGGCATCAGTTTAGAAGGGTTTATATGGAATCAGATATACATATTGTCACGTGTTTTGTGTGTCACGCGACAAATAACTTCACGCGGGTCTCGGATTCAGTTACAGGAATACCTATACTTATCTTATTTTTTGTGTAAAGAATATACATAATATGGACATGTTTTTCAGCTTGCAGATATCTTTATGTCATATTAACAGGTCGTGGTCTTGTTACACATACAGATAAATAAAACTTTCGTACTAAGGTCACTCAGCATTTACATAGTGACACCAGATTTATCAAATATTAATCAAGCGAAGTCAAAAACTAGTAAATAAAATACCTTATAATTGCGTTCCGTTCTGAAAAGAATTTCTACTGAACATATTTTATCACATGAAAAGGAAATTTGACTTCGTAGAAGGAGCACTGTGAACGGAGAAGTTCATGGAGGTAGGCCTAGGCCCCCTGGGGCTGTAGTGCCAAGAAAAAAAAGAAGGAAGAAGTGGCACTACTGGAAGTGACATCCAGTACCGCCTGCTCCATCGGAGACCAATATTTACTCAAAATCTTCGAATCTGAAGATGGAGGCAGCATGTTCCTTCGAAATTTTGGCATTCGCTTAAACGTGGTGTCCCAACGGCACTGACGAACCAAGCGGCCACCAAGGCTGGACGCTTGGAGGGGAGCGCATATTGCAAACCCTTTCTTTCTCACTCTTCTTCCCCCCGACCCCACTTTCTTTCTATACTTTTTTAAAATTCGCTTGGTGGGAGGGTTGGAGTCCAACTGGGTGCACTCGGCACGGCGGCCACTGATTGGCCTATTGTAGCCTGCTCCGGGTGATTATGATGGAGAATTTGGTGGAATGAAGATTGGCAGGGGAAACCGAAGTACTCGGAGAAAACCCGCCCCAGAGCCACTTTGTCCACCATAGATCCCACTTGACGAGAACCGGGATCGAACCCGGGCCGCCGCGGCGGGAAGCCAGCGACTAACCGCTTGAGTCATGGCGCGGCCATTTCATTCTATACTTAGTACACGGGAGCAAACACTGTAAAATGAAAGAAACTCGACCTCGAGATCTTGACATATTTACGCTTTGTGAAGACCTCTGAATAATAATAATAATAATAATAATAATAATAATAATAATAATAATAATAATAATAATAATAATAATGTTTCGGGGGACCACCTCTGTGGTCTAGTGGTCAGAGTTTCTGGCTACAGATCCAGAGGTCCGGGTTCGATTCCCGGCACTACCAGATTGTATGAGAAGTAGTGGGTCTGGAACGGGGTCCACTCAGCCCCGTGGGGATAATTGAGAAGCTGTTTCAAGGAAATAGCGGCTCCGGTCCGATGCGCACGGCTACCGTGACCGGCGCTGTCGATATTTGTGTACAGTAATCGATTGTTCGTCAGTTGTTTTTTAGCGTTCATCTGCATTTCATAGATTGCACCAATCGTTCTCATGGCAACTTGACGTCTGGAAAGCGTTTTAGTAATTACGTTGACTGCAGGGTAACCGTGAAAAAGTGGCCGAATTGTAAATCTGTTAAGGAAAGATGAATGCTGATAGATAGGGAAACAAATCTCAACAACATTTAAATCAGCATGTTAAACATGAAAGCCCAGAATAGAACGAGGGTCAAGAGTAGGATATTTCGAATTCAGCTGAACGCGATGTGTAATTCTGTTGGCAGCAATGGCAGCTAAACGTCGTTTGAAGTTGTGGATGCGGGTACCGATTGACCGATTGAGAGGGTAAATAGTACGCCGAATATTACACACAATAAAAATTGCATAGTATGTGTAAATAATATAAATTACAATTGTGACGACATGTAAGTGTATGAAGTACAGATGTATTGTTTCTCCTTTTTGAAACTTTATAATGTTAAATGGTTGTTAATGCTTTTCTATTGATCAGCATAACCTTGTTTACATATCTGTCATACTTGTGGTACACAGGAGAGACATATTTATGTTGTGATCTTGGACTTTCTGTATGTATTTAAGAACTGAAGTGTGTCGTCCATGGTCTTAAATTTCCATATGCACAGAGACTGAGCTATAGGACTGTGTCTATGCCAATCATGAACATTTATTGTCTGTGTGTAAACATAAATCAAGAATGCTGTAGTAAGTTAAATAATGACGAGAGTTATTACGTAAACTTGATGGTAAAGCAGAATATCGTATTTCTGTCTAGTGATTGAGTGATAGAGAATGCTTTATGTTGGACTAGCAACTGTAAGTGCATTATGATTTTAGTAATTACTGTATGATGACAAGTGTGTATTGTATGTATGAGTAAAGGACAGTTCTTTCCAAGTCACCTCTTAGCTCTTTAGTCAGATTGGCTTGACTGATTTTTTGGTAAAGGACATAAATACATCTGCACAAGCTGAATAAAATTATGGCTTTTGCAGGTACTTCCTATTGTGAAACCAAAAAATGTATGAACCTCAACACAAAATCCACCTCCTCGCTCTATTTTCAGTCAATTTAATTATCTTAGTTGTCATGATATATTTGAATAAGATCCATTTTAATATTATTCCTTCATTTATGTCAGGTTACCAAGTAGGTTGGCTTCAGTAGTAATGCTTTTGACATATATTCAGAAAGTGCTCTGTTCGAATGTCGGCTAGGACTTCAACTGCGCTGACAAAGGTTTTTATGCTTTTCCACAATTTGTCCAAGCAAATTACAAAACAGTACCTCAAACTAGGCTACACCCACTTCCCTCCACATTCTTCCTGATTCATTATTCACCAATAAACCTACCGTTTTACGCTGTATAGTCCGAGATACTGACAGTAATATTAATGAACAATTAAATAACAAAATAAAGTGGTTAAACTGTTATTCACAGTTGAACCAAATTAGGAAAATGGCAGAAAAGGAAGGAGAAGTAGAGAAAGCGAAAGCGGAGGCACCGGCTGGGCCGGTGATATCGGATCAGGAGAAGGACTGGGCACAGGCAGCGCTGACAGACTTCAACAGGAACAGCTACAGCTCATGTCTGCAGCATCTGCTAAAGCTGGAAGCATCGCGGCCCCAAGATACTAAGGTGGCACACAACAAGGCGATAGTCGAGTACCACAAGAGCGACCTAAAGAAGACAGATCAGTTTCGGAAGAACATGAACCTTGTATGCAGTCAGGTTAGCCATATTTCAATGCAATGTTTGTTGACCCTTTAAAGTATGGTGGTTATTGTATGTACCACCTGCTTTGACATTAGAAGACTTTGAATTTTGTCCACAGAATATATTTGTGGGTTTTATATGACTTTTATAAAAAACAGCTATTGTTTTCCTGAACAGAACTAATTTGTCTGTCTTGCAAATGGGGATGTATTGTGAAAGAACTGAACTTCTAAATATTATGACAGACGATGTCCAGTGAATGAGTCATAACCTTCTTCTTCATAAGGCTCGACAGTTTCCTTCCAGCACTTCTGTCCTGTGTGCGAGTTATCCAGCTTTAAATCCCTAAATCCTTCAGATCTTAGGTCAGCCTCTCATTTTTGTGGCATGTGGCTGCCAGCCATATATTCTTTTAACTGTTCGTCCAGCCTCTATCCTTGAGATGTGTCCAAGCCAACTTATTCTTTGGGCTTTGATGAAGTTAACTGTGTTCCTTCCTTTTATCGGATTACCTAGTTCCTCATTTGTTTTAATTCTCCGGGAGCCATCGCGGTTTCTTGATGGACTGAAGATCTTTCTTAGAATTTTCCTTTCAAAGACTAAAAGTCTATGTTTAATGGCTTCTTTAAGTGTCCAGGTTTCACAGGCATATGTTGCTGTTGGTTGAATGACCATCTGGCATAATCTTAATTTGGCTGTTTTAGAAATAAGTTTGCTTTTAAGCAGTGTTAAATGTGCAGCATATGGTTTATTTCCAATCGCTAATCTCTCTTTAATCTCTTGTTAGATTGTGTTATCTGAATTAACTATAGACCCTAAATATTTATAATGGGAAACTTGTTCTATATTTACATCACTGCATCTGAGATCTTGGATTTTTTGAGGTTTGTGAGACATAACCACTTAACCATTTTACTGGCAATGGACAAAATGCCACTGGCAGTGGCTGTGCGTGTGTGTAGGTGCCGTCTGCTCATTTCTAGAGCTTTTCCTCTTGAGGAAGCTATTTCCACTACCTTAAGGCATCATAACTGTCGCTCCCAACGGTGATACACGTAGGAACAAATTCCCAAGTCAGCATTATAGTAATTCCGTTTTAATGTTTTGCTAATTTCTCTAAGCTGTTTTATGATCTGGAATGTCAACTGAAGCATGTGCCTAGTTCTAATGTAGAGGATATGCCACAAAGAAAATCCTGAAGACAGTCATTTCCTAAGGGGGGAAATGAGTGGAAACAAATTCGAGACCCCAGGTTATGACGGTGTGGTGTATATGTCACTGAACGTGTTTGTGTTGTGATAACACTCTAGTATCATTCTGGAGATGGCTGGTTTGAATCTCAGCTGGAACACCAGCTATCCAGACTGGAATGATTTTCATGGTGTTCCTCAGGCCTTCCTGGAAATGCTGGGATAGTATCTTGCTTCCAGCTCATTTGACACCATATTGATACTGACAGCATTGCGAAGTAAACCACAAAAAGGAAGTATTACACCTGGTGCCAAGGAAATTACACTACTAGAATTTGGATCAGTGCGGTTTAAGTTTTGGTTTCATTTCTGTAGTGATTTGACAGTCTTAAATAACTACTACTTCTGATGGCCCAGAATGGCTGAAGTTAATTTGATCCTTTTCCGTCTCACAGCTGATCCAGTTTCTGAAACATAGCTGGATATTAAATACACCCCAAACAGTGGAAAGTGTCCAGCATAATTATGTAACCTATGCATGTTTCAGGCACATGTAAATATAGAAGACCTTGATTCGTTAGAGGATGTTGAGCATTGTGTTATCTACTTCAACCAGGCTGTGCTCCTGTACCACCTCAAGCAGTACAACACCGCCCTGAAGATAATGCAGAAGGTCTTCTCCTTCATAGAACCAATGGGTAAGGAGTTGAGTATTTCTAGGTTAAAGCAATGTATAGGCTGGATAGTCTGTCTGTGCGCTTACTGAATGTCATGTTCTGTTCAGTAGCACCCGTGTTTTGTATCTGGGAAGTCCCAGCCTCAGATCTTGGCTGACAGAGGGCTTCCATGGTTTCCCTCAGTCTTTCCGACAAAATGCTGGGACCCTTTTCCAAATCTTTATTTACTAGTCACCCTGTCATTCAATGCTCTGTAACCTGAGCTATTGATGGCGTCCATACATAAACCATAAGTAAGTAAAAATTAACAGCTGTTGCTGATCTGATATATGACTTAATCTTTTTTTTAACATACGATGAACAATATATATGGACAAGTACCGTCTTAAGTGCAACAATTTTATTGTAGTTTTTACTTCTTTTTCCTCCTCCACACTACATGTTTCGGCCCTAAAAACTACAATAAAATTGTTGCACTTAAGACGGTATTTGTCCATATATATTGTGTGAGTGTAACAGGATGCTGAAATATAATATTGAATACGATGAACCTCTTGGGAGTTTGGACTGCTCAGTGTAGCCACAGGCTGGATGGCCAGGGTTTGATTCCTGGCAGGAGCAAGGTTTTTTCCTTCTCTGTAGCATCGAGACAAGCTCTGGGGCACACCCAGCCCCATATCCAGTGGGTACTGAGGGCACTTTGCTTGGGGTGAAGCAGCCGAGGCCTGATGCTGCCCGCTCACCTCCATCTAGTGCCGATGTCAAAGGAGCTATGCCTCCAATCTCTCATATGTCTTCATGGCATAGTGCTTAATAGGGACAACTTTACCTTTTACTTTTGTGACTAACGTTTTGTGTAGTTGCATATTATTTGGGTTGTGCAATTAATTAAGCAGAGNTTAGAAAGAGCTAGCCTAAATCACTGGTCTTGAGGCTAGCTCTTTCTAAGGGACCCAACTGAATAGGTGTTTTCCTTCACCTGAGGACGGAAACAGATCCAGTTTCCGAAACGTAGTGTTTTTGTTATCTTAAAAACTAGGACGATGGATATAGTCCAGAAACCCAATATATCAGTGTTTTGTGTAGTTGCATATTATTTGGGTTGTGCTGCAGCTTAGGCATCTGACCACGGGTTTCTCACCCCAGCATCTTGGGTTCCATCCAAGGTGACATTGTGTGGGATTTATGGTGGACAAAGTGGCACAGGAGTATGTTTTTATTTTGAGTTTCTTCGGTTTTTCCCTTGTTAATATTCATTCCACCATTGCTTAGTACTGTGAGGTGTGCAGTAGCTCTGACCAGGCAGCACATTATCACATCCTGAGTCTTTGAGTTGGGTAGGGATCCATCTGTGACTTAGCACTTGCTGCTGAAAGAGTAAGGAAGTTGGTTTTCTTTATAAAGCAGTGGATTGTCACTTGTTCCAGAGGAGAGTCTGGCCCATCGAGTGTGTCTCCTGCTAACAGAACTGCAGCTCTGCTTGTACCAGCCTGACAAAACCTTGTCACTGATAGCTTACATTGAAAACCAGTTCGTTGTTTCTACAGACTCCGTCATCTCATCAGAAAAGGACATTAAACCTCTTGAAAGGGAGCATAAAGAGAAGAAGGTGCATAAAAGCCATTTCTTTGTATTGCCCCAATTTTTTTTGGGGGGGGGGAACTGTGAAACCCCAGTTTAATGTTCTTGTACTGAGTGGAATTCCATGTTTTTAGTGAATATCTTTTCTGGTCCTAGCTGAAGCTCAGTGTAACAAAGTATTATTTTCCCATTTCAATTTAATATACATATAACCTGCATTTAGTGCAAGAAGTGTTTGACCTTTCATAACTCTTTAACACACTTTAGTGCAGTATTATAACATTAATATCCATGAACTGTCTACTGACCTGTGTTCCAAGGAAGTCCTGTTTGAAACAACCCCTCCAGGCAAATGCCAGGCTAGTACCTTAAGTTAGGCCATAACTGCTTCCATCTACATCCTTTACAGTCTGTTATTCACTCTCCAATGATTTAACACTATGTAGTCAGAGGTAGTGGCTGTGTCACTAATAAAATGAAAATAAATAAATAAATATAAATTTGCTACAAAATACATTTAGTTACAGGATTAATTAATGATAAGAAGATAGTCACAAATTATACCATATTTATAAGCCTACATATGCAATTATATAGTAAAGAGTACTATTGGCTGCGATGTGACACCGTGTAGTCTGGTAGAAGTTCACTGGCAGTCCGTCTTCAGGATCGAAGAGTAAGCCTGCAGCAGAATTTACTTGCTTCTTGCTGGAGGGTTGCTTGGGTTACTTTTTGACCCTGAAGATGGAGGCAGTATATTCCTCTGAAAGATCAGTGAACTTCCACCAGACTACACAGAAGAGTCCTCTTCATAATCACTACATAATAACCTCAAATTCGACACAGTGGTTAGTGTTTAGTATAAAGTTCACACAAAAGTAGATAACCTTTCTTTTGACTCACACTGTAGATGCGAAGTACCAATCATGTTGTTTCTTTTTGTGCAGCCTGTAACTGGAGATGCTGCAACAGACACTTTCAGACTGAAGCTGCTGCAGTACAGAGCACGCTGTTATCTCATGATGCATGCTCTTAAGGCCTGTAAACGCGAGATCAAGAACCTCATTACCGCAGGTGGACCAGTAGGTATAGGGAGAAATGGGTTGAGAGCTTACCATGTTCATCAGCAGCAACTCACAGTTGCTTCTTTAATGGACATTTAATTACAGTGAATCAGCATGAAACAGAACCTTGTCTTAACCATAATAGTTCTATGTTCCTTTAGAAAAATGGAGAAATTTTGGTGTAAAATTGACTCTCAGGCAAAGTTGTATATGTATACAATTAAACATCACACCATGAAAGTGTATGGTGGAGTGCACATATTGTTAATTTTCACATGAAATGGAGGTGAGTAATCAACTTTATACCCCAGCTAGTTTATGGCCCATTAACCCTTTGGCGCGGTGATTTAAATTCCGCTGCCGTGTCTCTCCGGCGGTAATATTTTCAGCCGGCCATTTAAATTTTGCTCGTAAATGATTTATTTGTCATTATTCTTAAATTAAATGAGATAGTAACATGAATCTTTCACTAAAATAATCTTAAAATGTGGTTTTATAATCTTACCTTATAATGTGAGCGCCCTGTATCTCGGCGATGGAAGCAGCTGGTTTAGAAGTGTAGTAGTGTATGATACGCCTTGAAGCATTCTTCTAAACACAACGCTGCCTCGCATTCTCCACACCAATACTGCGTATCTTTTCTCTGGCCCTTTTTTCCGCAAACCACACACCTTCTGTGCGGTCTTGCCTTCTTCCCCGTGGGGGGAATTCGCTCAAGGAAATGTCTTTCCGTGAGTCGTTTAGGCGGCGGAAGAACTGACGGACGGCCGTGTACAGGACGACGTACCCCAGAACTGTGCTTTTCCACGAGACCTTGAACTAGGGAAAGTCTGAACTGTAGAGTGTCCAGGTTTTGTTTGTTTGTGTGGGACCGATAGATTACCATACTGTTGTGGATTGCTACATTGAGTAACCGCCTGAACAATTTTAGGTACCACTTGGTACCCTTCTTTCGTTCAAGCAGGTACGGTTGTAGCATCTGGTCTTTCAGATCCACCCCGAGCATGTTTTTGTTGTAATCGCAAACAACCACAGGCTTTATTTCTGTCTTGTTTGCACGATTAACAACCACACGCATATCGTTTTTATGGTATGTGGATATCATGGTCACCCTTTTTTTGTCTTGCCACGCAAGAACTGCCACGTCTCCTGAGTGTTGAGCACAGTGTTCACCTTTTTTCAATTTCTTATCTTTCACTAAGGGAGGGACATTTTTCCTGTTGGGACGTAAGGTTCCAACACAGTCTGTATTTTTAGACTTCAAGAAACGAGCCAAATCAGGGGAGTTATAAAAATTATCCATCCACACTGTGTGTCCGCGACCCAGAAGATTTTCTAACAGTGTTATTACAATTGCTGTAGTTTTGTTTGTCTCTGCAGTCACATACTGATTTGTTAGTTCCATTCCTTGTCCAGTATAGACAAGAAAGGACCAAACATAACCAGAACTAGACTCGCAGAGTTCAAACGTTTTGATACCAAATTTCGCAGCCTTGAGTGGCAAGTACTGCTTGAAAGACAGACGACCTTTCCATAGGGTCAAGGATTCATCTATGGCAATGTTGTGACCTGGAAGATAGAGAATCTGAAATTTTCTACTCAGGTGCTGAATGACGGGATAAATTTTGAAAAGTTTGGAAGGGCCTTGGTACTCATTTTGCTTGCTGTTGTCCGAAAAATGCAGAAATCTCATTATGACCTCAAGTCTTTCCAGAGGTAAGGTCTCTGCAAAAAACGGAGTGAACAGCAGGCGGTTCTTTGAGTAATAAGACCTCAATGTAGGCCTCTGATCAATGCCAGTCAACATAATTAGTGCCAAAACCACGTACATTTCGTCCACTGTCACATCTTCCCACTTCCGAATCCTAGAGCGAAATGTGAGAGGTCTGG